CCGAACAAAATGCAACTACAGGTAATATGAGAGGTAATTCGATACGACTGAAAAGGTGTATTTTTTTATTCCGGGGTAATCCATGTTCATACCAATTTTACCCTTAATTAATAAATATTTTGGACACAAATGCCCTCATATAACCAATAACAATTAGCTCAAATGTGCGAAAAACTTCTGTAACCTCATAAATTAATTTTTTGGACAATTAGGGGTGGGTGGCCGAAAGCCCGGCAGTTGTCTGCCTAAAGAGGAAAAATCAATCCACAGAATCGAGGGTTTGGGGTTTTAATTTTTGAGATGATGATCAGCCCACGTTACAGCTTCAGTGTTTGGAATTCTTTTTTCTTTTAATATGGAAAGTGGCGGCGAGCATTGGTAGAGTGGGTAGATTCGATTCCAAGTTAGCAGGAGTTACTCTAACAAATTATAGTTTTTAATAGTTTCTTGTATAAATGTCACAAAGTTAACTATTAAACAAAGCTCAAGCGCAGTTCTTGAAAATCTCCCATTTCAAAGAGTTGAAATCAGCAAAATGGTTTGTATGTATTTCTATTGATCAAAATTTTACTATAACCCTATTTAATACAATATACCAATAAATTTTTTCACCCTGTTTAGAGTATTTAGATATATTGCTTAATGGTTGGGATATGTGAAACTATCATATTAACCTTGTTATTGGAAGGTTATAAGGGTATAATCAATGTTGAATTTGACTAGTTCTATAAGCTCAATACATGCACTATATTTCTATCTAATTCTAATCTAATTTGAAGATATTATACTAAACATATTCCGATAATCCTATCTTATTTGATTTAATCATATCTTATCATATTCATAATAGTTTTTTATAATATCATATTTTAAATAATATATCAAACAGACCATTTGTTTCTTCTTGATGGGCAAAAGACAAAGGTACTGAAATTGAATGGCTCATGCAGAAAAATCCACGTCAGAAGGACCAAAAATAGTGTGCCAAGAAGGAGAAATAAGAAAAGAGAAGAAGGGAGAAAGAGGAGAAAAAAAAAATTGGGGATTTTGTTTTTTCAATTTTATATAAGGTAAAATGACATAATTGTCCTCTAATTTTTGTTTTTCAAATTACTGTTCTATACATCTATCTTTCTGTAGTCAAAAATATCAAAAAAATTGGATGAATGGATGGATGGAAAACTGTTGTTTTGAAAACTTTTAGGTGGGAACTTGTCGTGAGGCCAATTTATAAAATTAAAAATATATATTAAATTGAGAATTAGAAAAAGCATAAGAATACATAAACTACCTTTTACAAAATAAGGACGTAATTATCCTGAAAAACCAAATTACAGAGTTCACAAATGAGAATAGTTCATTAGTATATAATTTGATCTGTCCAAATTTCAACCTAAAAAGTTTGGGTTTGTTGAACTTCTCTTCAGCGTAGTATTTCTACCTGAATAGTCTCAATACTCTTTGGAAAAAGATTTAGTCTTTAATACTACGGGAAAAAGATGTTGAAGCCACTGGAATTCTAGAACTAAAGAACACCATTTTTATTCCCTTTTTGCAAAATATTGTTCTTGTTTTTGTAGGTACAATCGTTTTTTTAAGTTGGAGAAATGGAAGGAGATATATAGTAAAAGGGTATTTTTCAGATAATTTTAAAAATGAACTAAAACAATAATTTATTTAAATTGAGGTTTAAAAAGAGTTTTCTAGAGTCAATTGAGCTGGCCAAGCCCAACCTGTTAGTAACCTCCAGCTCACTTGTGGGCAAGATCGACCCACCGGTTGGGTCGATGAGGGTGGCATGTGACAACCCCCGAAAACCACCATACTGTAAACGTATTGCAAAAGTCAAAAGTGTTCTTTAATTTATCAGAAGTAGAAAAATAAAATAACACTTCATGGGAGGAGAATTCCACGTGACAACCACCATGTGTTTTCGAGAAAATTTCGTCTATATAACACCTTCAAAATCCTCATTGAAAAGGGCCGAGATCAGATCACTTAATAACAAAATGGTAGTGAAAGTGTTTGGTCCAGTGCATGCAGCTTGCCCCCAGAGAGTTTTGGCTTGCCTGCTTGAAAAGGATGTGGATTTCGAAATTGTGCATGTTAATCTCGATCAAGGGGAGCATAAGCAACCGGATTTTCTTGTTCGACAGGTGATTTTTAACAATGTTGCTTACTATAATATTTATGCTTTTTTATTTTTTATCTGACATGAAATTTCAATCATTTTTGAAGCCGTTTGGGCAAGTTCCGGCTATAGAAGATGGGGACTTTAGGCTCTTTGGTAAGTAACATAATCTTACATGATCCAAGGATGAAAATAATTTCAATTTGGGTTTTTTACACTATTGCACCAGTATCATATATATATAACTCGCAAAATACGTTAGTACTAATCATTTATAAAAGGTTTTCTAAAATCCATCTCCAACTTCCATTGAATTTTGCAGAGTCTAGGGCAATCATAAGGTACTATGCAGCAAAATATGCAGAGCGCGGTCCAAACCTACTGGGAAAGACATTAGAAGAGAGAGCTCTGGTGGATCAATGGCTTGAAGTGGAAGCTCATAATTTCAATGACTTGGTTTATACTATGGTTCTTCAGCTTGTTGTACTGCCGAGAATGGGACAGCCGGGGGACTTGGCCTTGGTCCATAGCTGTGAGCAGAAGCTGGAGAAAGTTTTAGACATTTATGAACAAAGGTTGTCTAATTCCAAATATCTCGCTGGAGAAAGCTTCACACTCGCGGATTTAACCCACCTTCCAGGCACAAGATATCTAATGAATGAAGCTAAAATGGGACACTTAATCACTGAGAGGAAACATATTAATGCATGGTGGGAGGACATTTCCAGCCGCCCTGCTTGGAAGAAACTTATGAATCTTGCTTGTTTCTAAGTGTCTTGTGATGAGTGATTAATTTGCTTTCTCTAGTTTGCTTTGTGTTGTAATAATTTATTACTCTTGATAATAAAGTAATAATAATTTGGTTTCCTCCTCCAATCCTGAAAATCTTGAGAGCAAACGGGCAGTTCAGATGCTAGTAATAGTATGGGAGGTGTAAGTTGCAACGATAACAAATAGGTAGAATTACGGGTAAAAACCAGCTACCAGCTTAAAAGGGGAGGATGCCCACAACATGTTCAATATACCCAATTGGTAAGACTAAGACAGGATGCCCACAAGTACATGTTTAATTAATATACCCAATTGGTAAGACTTACTCTATACCTTCTGGTCGTGCTTGCCTTAGCTGTAGCCCGGCCAAGTTTTCTGAAAAATAAAGAAATAAGTAAATACATATTTTAATAAAATTGAAGCCATTTAACCTTCTTTTTTCATAAAATTCTCTAAGATATCTTCAAAAACATATATTTTTTGTAACTATTTCATTCCTTTTTATTTACAAACAATCAAACGTAACCAACTTTGATTCTTGATAATATACATTATATTTCTACATTCTCTAATTAGATTACATATATTTATATTTATTTATGTTTATATTGACATTTGTCTTAATCAAATTAAGTGTAAATTAGTAATTAACTTTTTTTTTTTTTTTTTTTTAAATTTTGGTTGTAGAATAGTATTTATTAGTAAACATTTTATTGAGAAACTAAAAACTTTATTCGGTCCAGGTTGAAAAAAAATCTTGGCTATGTCCCCTCGCTGCAGAAGCATACAAGGGATGGGTGCTTATACCCAATTGACTAAGACTTTTTTTTTTTTTTTTTTTTTTTGGATATACGAAAGTATCCAAATGAGTTTGTGCGTATTTTAACTAGTCTCTCAAAGTCCTGAAGTTAACGGGTAAACCTCTAATAGCTAACTCTTATTAGTAATCGTAAATATTCTAATTCAAGACCTCTTGAGTAATACACTCAAGAATCCCAAATTAACCACCAAAGAGGCAGTTACAAGACTTACTTTATACCTCCAGTTTGTTCCATGCGCAACGAGTTTCGTCCCATATGGGTAGTATTTTGTACCAATTGTAACAATCACAAATAGAAAAAAATTGACCACATGTCAAACCCATTCTTTAGCGATATGAGACTCTATATCGCTAGAGAAGTCATTTGAAGCAATGAGAACTCTTGCTATTCGGCAGAAAATGATTTTGGCGCATGCATGGAAAATTAACAGTTGGTGAATTAAAGACTTTAGGGTTGAGTACTGAATTAGGTGTCTGCTCGTAGAAAGAAATAATGGGATTCAAAGAAGAGGTAGCAAGTACGACACGTCGATTCTCATGTTTCGTACGTTTTCTCCAACAAACCGACGAACGTGCGTCAGACTTGAGACTGACTGCTTGGCGCACTTAAATTTGTCAAAAGCTTCACTATATATATATAATTAAAATATACAAGAAATTCTCTCATTTCACAAGATATTAGAAAAGTCTTCATTCATTGCATATTGTAACAATAAGAAATTATTTCTAGGAGTTGAATGAAATGCCGAAGAGGAGAATTTTGAAAAATATAAATACGTTCTCTATCAATTAATTTTAATTTATTTTACGTGGATATTCCTCAAGTAAAACATAAAGAGACAAAGAGATTTAGTTTTCAATTTTATACATTTTTTTTATCCGTAATCTCAATGACCAACCGAGGCAAAGGCAAACCTCTGTCTACATAGATAGAATATAGCAAGAGCAAAGCATAAATCTTGATTTGCGAATTGCAAGTGAGAATTGAATTTACTATTTGAGCTTTATCTTGGATACACGTTGTTGTATTACAACAATTCCTAATATACCAAAATAATTGATTCCTTCTTTTTTTTGGAGGGATTCCTTCTATTCAACTACATATGCTTCTAAGATTGGTGATGTAAAATGATGAGTGTTACTTTAGACAGAGATTTTCTGAGGGGCGTATAAGTGACTTTGCATATGAGATAGGCATGCAGCTATCTTCTTCACTTTACTCACATAGTGCCTCCTTGTGAAATTGTTATAATCATTGGCTTCAATCTCGTCCAGTATTTACGATACAACAGCAACGATGCCCATACCTGCATAACATCCAACACTCATGTTCATTCATATCTTCAATCTCATCCAGTATTTTAAGGCACATTTATACTGATAAAAAATTTCTGGATTTAACGGCCATCGATAGCTCACTCAGCTCTGTCACGTTTCTCTGCCGCATCAAAGAACATCCTTGCTCTCTTAATTGGTTCTTCATGAAGTTTCTCCATTTTCTGTCACCTTTCCAGCTAGTAGTCTTCATCAGAAAAGCCCTGCTTGGCCAACTCATCTTGTGGTAGATAAACCCTTCTCTTTCTGCACTGAAGAGAAATGTTCAAAGATGATGAAAATGAAGAGAAACGTTTAAAAAGTAACAACAGCAGATTTCAAAAAAATGCCATCTTCATGAAATTAACAGAAAAAGAGCAAATTTAAAGACTGCACTTACTCCTCTCCAACGTCCGGAGTATGTTGGTGAGCTGGTTAGCAATCCCTAATGCCAAGGCAGCATTATAGACACTCTCCTGTTGTTGCCTGTGATTCAGGTGCAATGCCCATAACCGGAACACATCATCAAACCGACCGTCCCGCAACATATAACAATAGACGGTATAGTTCATCAAAGGTTTTATATCTTGACTCTTAAGGTCCGTTCTCATTCCTTCAATCATGTCTCCGAATGGCTGCAGAAACAGGTATTTTGGTGATAAGTTCAATGTCTTGCAGTGCAATACAACTAGTTTTAAAAGTGTAATGCTTAACTAAGGGGACATCGAACATCCAATGGCTGGAACATTCACTGAAATGGCAGAGGTTCAGATAAGGGTTTACTACAAGTTCTTGCACAAAATAACTTACACTTTTGCGAGGAAATTCTACAGGGTAAATATAAAACTTCAGAGAGGTTTCTCCAATCTTTACCCCATTCATTTAGAAATTTAGGGCTTCTTAGGCATTTGCAATCCTCATAGTACCGTGTAGACCCTGCCAAAATCTCAGCCCCAAAGACTAGTTTCTGGCCTGGCTGGACAACCCTTTGTTTTGATAAAGGTTAGTTTTTTCTTTTTCCCCTTCGATGAGTGACTAAAAAGCAGATTGGTCAACTTTTGTGGACGAGGGAATAAGTCTGGCATGAACATGGGACAAAAATCAAAACACAAAGAGAATTGCTTGTACTTCACAATTCTCTGACAATTCCCCCAACTCCAATAAGCTCGACCTTTTCCTAATAATTATCCAAAATTTATGAAAACTAAAGAGTCTTAGTAGGCACACAGTGCACCTCTTTCAAACTCGGACTTGAAGGAAAATTGAAAACGCAGAAATGGCATGATATCATTACAAATGGAACATGATCTGTCATTATAGATAAAATTTTAATGTTATTAAAAATTGTTATAGTTATGCTCAAGGACCACCCAATGACATGAGATCTAACAACACTACAAAAAGTTCAAACTAGTACTAAAACAACCATTCTCTGTTAAAATTAATTGATTCTGAAAATATAATCCAACCGAATGTCAACAGGAAATTTGGCTCATGTATATAAGCAGCATCAAGCATATCAAATGGACGACCCTGGAAAAAGATCTTCTAACCTGGACTCCCACCTATCTAAAGCTGTTGGAGTAATGTGTGAAGCATTAGGCCCATCAACCAGGTCATCAGTCCTCCTACACCACACTGTACATACATTTTATAAGAAACGATAGGTAATGTACATACATGTTACTAAGAATCAGCATTGAAGATTTCACAAATTAATAAAACGCTTAGCCAACACATATACAAAAGACGAAAAAAGAATGTACAAGACATATGTCATACACGAGATTCTTATTTCTGTTAATGTACAAGACAAGTTCCCAAGACAAACAAAAGCATCGTTGTAGGCAAAAGTTTAGTTGAAAGAAATAAAAAATAAAAATTCACACCTTATGCATTTTTCTGTAAAATAATGTGCATATGTGATTCAAATGCTAATAACATAACATCAGACATACAGGGCTTGTCGATGGTCTTATGATAAACATTTAATGATAACTATAACATAAAAATAGAACAGGAAAATCAAGGTTAATGTGGAGAACAAAGCTCCTTTCAGTGAGGTATTTCAAAGAACTGGGACTGAAATCATCCCCATCAAGGTGAGGAAGTTCGGTGTCAAGGAAAGTTATCTGAATAGAGCATATACATCCCCCCATGGAAGAAGACAAAGCTAACATTATAAAATAATTAAAACAAAAAGTATCTATATCTATCAATATTATGAAGGAAAAGAAGTCACAGACAGAAACCACAACCACATAAAGTCATGTTTAAAGATGAACTTCGTTATAGTGGAGTCGGTCACAGCATGATGAATTTGTGCTGTGACCGAATTTGTTAAGAAATATAACCCTTGAGTAGTCATCAACAAATAGCAGAAAACTGGCAGTAAAGTACATACTCATGCAGGGAGAACATGGGTTTATATCATCATTAAAGAAACAGCAATCCTTGTTGTTTGGATAATAATATAGATTCAGGACACAACCAACCTCACTAACACAACAATCCACAAAGTAATTCTATGGCATGGTTTGGGATGTCTTTGTTAAGCACATAAAAAAAAAAAATACTTGGTTTAAGATTCAATAAGCTACAAAGTACATTTTTAAAAAAATCTTTCAAGGTCTTTACTGATTCTTTGGTAAATCTGATCCTCAAGTACCTAAAAATTATATGAATATTTACTCAGGTAATGTTAAATTGCAAGCAAAGAGCAGTATGATTTAAGGTTATGATCACAAAACATATATAGCCCATATAGCCCTTCTTCTTTCAGGGGTCATTAGGAGAGTTCCTGAAAAAGGCAAAAATACATAAGGATTTGATTCAAAAGAACGCAAATCAGAATTTCACTCCCAGTTCAAAACTCAAATTACATAGAAGAAGTCTAACCCAGTAAAAATGTTGGCATACTCTGCACAAACTTCTCCACACCGATCATAAGCTTCAGTCAACAAGCTCAGAGTTCCCGGCAACACAATATCAGGTTTTACATCAAGTTCCCCACTTGACATTAATTGCCTATTAACCAAGGCTGCTGCTTCAACACCACATTGTAAACCTTTTTTGAGAGACACGGCCATTTCTCCCGCGGTGCTAGCCACCATACTATTTCAGGCAAGTTGATTCCACCTAAGCAAGGTGCCTAAAATCTGTATCCAATGAGCAAGATTCCATTTTGTGTCCTACCTTTTTCGGTCTAAGCTAAACATGGAACTACGATCGGTACAGAAATCTGATGATCTATTAGTCGGTTTCCATCGCGAACTGAATCAACGTATCCAACATATCTTGACAACTGGAGTTGGGCGATACAACCCATAGCAAAGCACAGACATGCTGAAATTAAAATTCATATATCTAGCTTCTTAATTCCCTCCTATCTCCAACCTCAATTCACAACAATCCAACTGAAACCTATCTTCTAGAAAACAACCCACAAGTTCAACTTAAACACAATATAGCAACAACTCAGCAGTCAAAGACTTGCTTCAACTCTGTATAAATGAACCAGAAACCACAGTAAGCATACAAAACCAACAACAAACAAAATTTAAACACAACAAAGCATTAATAACAACCAACACAAAATCCCACAGCCAGAACAAGAACTTAGAACGGGATCGCAAAAACATAAACTAAATTGTTTCAGAGTTCAGAAATCATAGTTTATAGTGATTAAACAAAGAAGGGTATGGAAATGTTGGTAAAAGCAGTGACTATTAAATAAGAAAAAGAAAGTATTAACATCATATCAAAATGAAAGCAAATAAAAAACAACAACGGCCATTTTATCTTACCTTACCTAACAAACTCTCCACCTTCCAGACCTCTAAAGCCTCACACTGTTTTGTTTCTTCTTTTATTTTATTTTATATTTGTTATATAATGACTAGCATTGTCCGGATTTGTATGCAGAATGCAGAGTTGTTTCTCTCTCTTTTTTTATTTTAATGGTTGCTGTTTTGTCATGTATCAGAATTCAGATCCGAATGGAAATGGATATTCTTGGATAACCCGTTTCTTTTTCTTGGTTTGGGTTAAACCCTTCCAAGGATTCTTTTGTCTTCATCAATGCACTTCAATTATTTCTTTAAAATTTAGTAACCTACTTGACAATACATACGGTTCTAAATTTTTGAAAAGGTTGAAATTCAAATTCGAAAAAAAATATTTTTATATTTCAAAAATGTTTTACTAAGCCGACTTTGAAAAACATTTTTTATATATAGTATATTTAATTATTTCTATCAAGTTTGTATAGGAATGTACTTCAAAAAATACATATATTCATAGTTACAAAAGGCTTATTGGTATTTTCTTTTAAAAAAATAAATAATAAGAATGAGAAATTGAATAATGTCAATTTTTATTAAACAGAAAATGAATGAATAAAATTTCACCCAAGCAACCGGACCCGGCCCGTGGAGAAGGAGATGAGGGAAGAGGATCGGACGTGGAATGGTCGACCAATGAGTGGAAGATAAGTTATCAAATGAAGAGAAGGAAGAGTGGAGGTGAGAGTACACGTGGCAAGCGGGAGTGAAGAGGGAAAAGAAAAGCTAGATCCCGGGAGGATGAGTTGAGTGGTGGAGCCCAATAGTGAGAGATACAGTGAAAAAGGGAAATCGACAAAGGTGTTTGTCTTTTATTTGATACAGCAAAAATTGCGAATGTGGACGACGTGTCGTCCATGTGTTTACGACACGTTTTTCATGGTCAAGCGATTGACAGTATCTGCATTTTTGCCAACTTTATGGGGTGGGGATGGCCTACGTATGCAAAATAATTGGTTGACGGCTTAATAACATAATGGTAATTGTATCATACAATGTGAGTGAAGAAAATTTACTTCTAATTCTTTTTGTTTACTACCGTACCACATCAACATCCACTCCATCTTCATCAACTTATTTCTAACCTCTCTTCAATTTTAATTATTTTTTATTTACTTGTAAAATACTGACAGATTTGGAAAATTTAAAAATATTCAGTAATTATAATGTATGGATATGGAGGGATTGTTAAGATTTAGATTTGATGGCGAAATTAATAGTAATTTAATAAGAAATATACCAACTTTCCACCAACCAATTAAATAATATTGATAACATTAGAGAGACATGGCGGGGGTCCCAGTCACTTCAAAAAAACGAAAGAACAACCCATTATATCATATATTTTGCAGTGAAAAATGATTTTTTATTTTTGACATATAATTTGCACATGGTCAAATTGCATATGAATCTTTTTCAAACAATGTTAACCGTTAACTAATTATTTGTCAAACTCTTGATGTATATAATAATGCCAAATCCCGATTAATAAACAAAAGAAAAAACAGTATATATAATAAAACAATTGTCCAAATACCAATTTGTAAGACTGTTGTTATCATTATTAACTGTCATCTATTGCCTCCTAATTTTTGATTTTATTATTTTGTTAACATTTAATTCAAGGTAATAAAAGAGATATGATAATCTATTTAATTCGATCATTATTATGTTTAGTTGTAAGTAATAAAATATTAAATAATCTTCTGATACTAATAATAATTACTATGGTAGCGTTTGGTTCAAGAAATATTGTATTACAAGAGAGTTATATTAATGAA